TAATTTGTAGATCCCACGTTTTCATCAAATAATAAATTTCTACTTACCCAAGAATCGAAATCTATTTCAAGCCATGTCTAAATCTGTTGACATAGTTAGCCTATAAATGCCCATTACCTCGTAGGTGAAATGATTTAAGGCTTAGGTTTAATGTGTTGTATTTGAAGAGTACTAATTATCAATTTTCTGAAAATTATATCAACCTATCTGGCTCGATGGAAAAAAGTTGAAAGTTAGGCTAGAAATCAGTCAGGTTATGGTCTGAAATTCACATATTAAGGAGGTCGACTACCCAAATCAATTGGTGATCAGTTGATCCAGACCATGGGTTAACCAGGTTTTCCGGTTGCACTCTTTAAAGAATAGATTTTTTTGTTACTGAGGATTGATTCAACCTTGAAAAATATAATGTTTGTTTCATTAATGTCTGGGAACAATTCATCAACAATTTAATTTATAAAGAAATAGAAATGAGTGGCGCACAAGTGGATAATACTTGTGGATCCATTGAAATATGTAGTTGAAAATGAAGTTTCACCAATTTTCAAAATGATTTATAAATTTTCGGAAGGGAGAATTAATATTTAGCTGTTGATGCCATTTTTCATTTGATATCGTAAATTATAATATATAGTTAACAGATTATGTTTGACCTTTAGCTTGATAATACCCCTGTTTAAAATTATAAGCTAGCTGATGTATACAAATTTCTTGAAATGGTAGTATAAAGTACCTGAGGTGCCCCTACCACAGCAAAGTACAATCCTTTAACTGGTTGATTAGCTATAGCCATTTGTTCCACAGGACCTATCATATTTGATATTCCCATGCTCGAATTCTTTAACGTGTTGCGGATGCATCGTGCAGTTGCCTGTTACATAACGAAGTTATCCACAATGGACTTAACATATTTAGTAAGACGTGTTATTATCCAACATTTCATACCAAAGTGCACATATGTAGAGTACAATTTTCTATTAAATGAAAAGAAATGAAATTTAATGTATATTTACTTACCTCAGGACCTCTAATTTTTCTGATGGCATCAAGAAACTGGCCAGTTAGATAAACTGATGCAGAATTTCTTTGCCTTTTTATCAGTTGCTG